ACAGTATGGTGAGGGGTGTAACATTTCCGTCTCACGCTTGAGGTATTCGGCCAATCACAACGCATTGGATAGCTGGCCAATCACAGCTCACCTCGCTTTTTCAGACCGATGAGCTTTGTAAAAATCAACGCGTTTCAAAAAGGAGGGGCATAGAGGAGAAACAATAATGTACAGTATGTGGAAAATAATGTGTTTTTTGGACCTTAAACCGCATAAACACATTTCATTACACCAAATACACAAAATAATGTTCTTTTTAGCAACATCATATGACACCTTTAAAGGTGCAGTAAGTGATTTCTGAGAAACTCTGCTGATACTTGTAATCACCTAAAAAACACACCCCTCCCTTCACTGTGCTTCCCCTAGATTCATAAACATGTAACACAAACATTGTTTTCATAATTACATCAATCACAAATAGAGGAAATAAAAAAATAAAGCGAAGATCGCCATTTTGTGGACACGCTCAGGAGCACACATGTACAGTGTAAACAAACACAAATCACCCCAGAAAAAGCCTACCATTTTATATGAATAATTTTAAAAAAAGAGCTTACGTACACTGAGAATAAAATTGACTAATGTGTAAATATCTTTAAAAAAAAGAAATACTCACTTGTGTGTCTGAGACACTGCAAATATTCATCACATAGTATTCTGTCTCCTTCACAAAAGTGGTACTGACATAACTTCTAAAGCCCTTATGAAAATTAACCATCGTTTTATTATAGTAAACATTTAGTAACCATGTTTTTGGTGTAATGATTACCATTTGTATAACCACAGTTTTACTAGCAATACCATGGTTAAACTGTGTTTAATGTAGCAAAACAATGGTTGATTTGTAATTACCATAGTTTAACTATAGTAACCATGTACTTTTGGTTTTATTTGTAGTAAAACAATTGTTAAATTTCTTAAGGGAAGAATAAATACAATATAGCTAGATCTCAAACAGTGGATCATTTATCATTGTTATATATTTTCATTGTCATATTGCCCAGTCCTAAAACTGCTCAATGTTAAAGCATTAAGCCATTATAGAGGTAACAGAATAACTTCAAAGCTGCTTCGAAACGATGTGTATTGTGGGTGCTTTACAAATAAATAACTTCACTTGAATGAACCAAGCCGAAGATTCCTTACTATTAGAGATGCCGAACAAGGATGCAGAAGAGTGCAGTCATATAATTGAATTAGCTTAATCCATACAAACAATCAACGAGCTGCTTACACCACTACTTTATTTGTGGTGTAAGCACTTGCAGTTCAATGCAAAACAGTGTATATTATTATAATATAATAAATCTACAGAGATCAATTATAAAGTCACATTTTATTTAAGTTGTTTACCTTACTGAGTTTCAGTTTCATCCACGTTCCGTAGTGAATGTAGACATTTTATAATATTTTATGTTTATAGGTTTAAGGTCACGTTGGAATGGTTAAGGCTTACTGTATTATCAATTGCTATAGCTCTTATCAATGTCTGCATGAAATACCTTTGCTTTTTCAGCTTTCTAGTACAGAAAAAGCACACATTTTTCATGCCGACAGTGAGAAGGACTATGGCAATTGATGATTTCATGACGAAATTTCCAGAATGCATTGCTCCGTGTCGACACATTCTCATTCTCTATACCATTCATAGGCATAATTTGCGGGTGGGACGGGTGGGACATGTCCCCACCACTTTTTGCCAGGGTCGATATT